CGAACTATGAAAATCTAAATTTTTTCAAGTGCTGTCTAAGCATAAACTTTTCAAAAAAGAATCAATTTGAACTCAAGAGCGGTATTGAATATACAGTTACTCTTAAATGAATCATTTGTGCCCCTAACGATCTCTTTCAATAAGCTCAAATTATAGGCAACTTTATCTACAGACAAGCTTATATCTTTGACATTTCACTTGGTTCTACAGTAGCTTATATTTATTTTTCAAAGTTTGATTATGTGATTATTGATTTGGCAAGCTTATAATTTGAAATCATCAATTTAAAGATGAACCCCCAGGTAAAACAAATTTTGAAAATCAGACATTTCTTTTTTTAAAAGATTAAGCAAATGAAGTATATTAACAATAATTACTCCCATTCCCTCTGTTGACATTAACAGAGATTGATAAAACTATATCCATCGGGAGATTTCAATTCTTGTTATTTTGAAATGAAATGGATGGTGTCCTATTTTTCTGTACCATGTGGGCTAATGAAGACGGAATTAGTTAGTTTGAAGCTGGTGTATAAACTCTCTTTTAACATTATTAGTTTAAAGGGACATTCCTCTTTTTTTTTCTGAGTCAAAAATGTTTTCTGCTCAAAATTGTGAAAACTATACACCAAAATCTAGAGAACTGTGTCCCATACGTTATCTGAAAGTTTTAACTGAACAAAAAAACAGCCATAAATTTTTTAACAGGAAAACTATTGAAAATGATAACGTAAGGTTTTAAAGTTTGTAATGCTTTTTGGTAGGTGTAAAAAAGCTACTATAATGATTTAAATAAAATAAATGCCTAATGATATAGAAATATAGGTTCAACTAATAATTTTGAGCCATAATAAAGCCAAGCATCAAAACTAGTTCAAACTGCGTAATTAACAATTAGCACTCTCCGTTTTTAATTAACCCTTTTAAAATAAATTCAGTTTGTTCAACTAGATACATAAATAAAAATAGAATATTTCAGAAAAATTTTTGATAATGAAGTTTTTTTTAACAAAAAAAAGCAGAATGCTCCTTTAATAACCCAACTACATTACCATATATAAAAGTAATCTTTCTATAAAGTATAAGTATATATCTGAGAAAATAAGAAGCTGGAGAAATCAATACACAGTTTTAGATCATACACTCTATTGTATATATCTATTGATTATAATTTCTTCTGTCTTAATAATAATAACCTGCATATCCTCAAGTAATAGAATTTTACCATCTACTAATTATCAACTAGACATTTGGGACCAAAACAACAATCCATTGATTCTATTTTGCTTCAGCTCATTTCCTCCGATTTACCTTATCTCTTTTGATAATAACTGAAATGATACTGTAAGCCATGATTTGATATGTATCGCGATATTTTCCCCTTGGTCCCTGATCTGTTTTAGATCATGATACATAATATCTGCATGTAAATCAATAGAAAATCATAAAATCAAAATAACATTTTTGATATACTAAACCAGGCGACCTGTGCAATCTACGGCCTGCGAGATGATTTCGGGCGGCATCATGTAAAATTTGAGGGAAATGCTACCTGCCAGCAAATGCTTTAATTGCTATTATCACTTTCGGTGTGGCCCGCAGAGTGTCGCTGCCTATTCTAATATCGAAACCCGTTATATCCACGCAGTTCTATCAAAGTATGGCTTCAAAATGAATCTAACCAATCGAGATTAATGAGGTCTGACCTCGTGTGAAACAGTGATGTTACGTCAAATTTGTCTGTTATTTGCAATGCACATTGAAATATTGAATAAATGACTTTAAAAAATTGCATGTTTCTCATTGTTAATTCCATGATTCATTGATGGTTGGTTACGTGGCCCACGGCCAACTCGCATCTCCCAAATGTGGCACGCCGTTGCTGAGCACAGGCCTGTACTAAACTATTAATCAGACATTTAAATAAATTGTTAAATACTGCCAGATTTTTTAGCATTTTGGTCCGATACTGAGTTTATTTCATTCTACCATGTTTTAGATTTTGACCCACAGTTTTTATTCAACCTATGGTTGATGTCTGATAGTCACTTGAGGAAATCAAACATTTGATCTATTCTGCCATTCATGTCTGGAAAATAGAGTCAAAACAACTGAACTGAATTTGGATGACTTCCTAATTTTACTCAATTGTGTCTTGGTTTACCAGAACCGAAATTCTTATTATATTCATATTAGTCAGAAATAGATTTCAAAAACTCATGGAGTTGCATATATGTTTTTTGTTTCAATTAACAAATATTCAATAAAGATGTAACCCGAAACCCTTCATATTTATTACTCCCTGTAGCACCCATGATCGGTAGCCAAGAAATGATCAAGATTCAGCGTTTTATCAGTGAATCGTTTATTCCGTATGCCCTGGATACATTGGTAACAGATCGATTGATCCACTAATGAGATGGAAATGAAATAGGATTATATACTTGTAGTCTACTATATAGCCAAGAGTTTTCAGATAATAAAGTCCATAATTATACCAATTTCCAATATATATGTAGTTCACTATAATTCAGTTTTAATTTAACAAGATATTTTATATTATCACAATATGATATGAAATGAAAGGAGTTTTACGTCCTACTTTTCCGCACCATGTGGGCTAATGAAAATAGGCAACGTCCTACAGGGTGCAATGAGGGAAATTTTGCCAGGACAGCTGCATTAGTCTCCTCTTTTTTTCGATTTCCAACAGTCGAGGGATCTTAAACGTTCACAGCTTGTATTATCACAATTCAATCAATAATTTTTAGGTCTGCAACGATTAGTGAAGTTATGACTTAATACTAACACTAAAATGAATTCAGAAGTAATTTTTTTACCAAGATTTGGTTAATCCTTTTCTAGGTTTAAATTATGAACAGAAAATCATATTTCAAAAACTAAAACATGACAATTTGTAATATACCGGTATTCAAAGATTCTGTGTCATTTGTTAATCAAGGGAGCCGTTATATCTCGATTATTTTTATCAAATGCAATGCATCCATAAGAAGGAAAGAATCATGGTCTTCATTCATGGTAGCTCTGATTATTCAATAGATAAATGCAGGCAAGCAAATTATAAAAAAGTCAGGAATATGTCAAAACTGTAGATGCATGAGACAGAGGTTCTGTAATATTCTTTGGGGATAATCAACTTGAATATTTCACTTCTACATGGGAAACAATTCACATTATTAAAAGATAAATCCAAAAGCTATCAGAAACCCTCATAAAACTAATATATCAAATCCATACATTGCTCTACAATTGATGTATTGAGCAGTATTATAACAGTGAAAATATTTTGTTATTGTAAATCAATAAATACACTGAACGAAATGTGGTCTAAGGGAGACAATTTGCTAATCCTAAATTTCGGCTTTGTTCAAAATTTTAAAATCAAGATGTCTCTTTTCTTGTACTGACTGTCTGGTTGGTGAAATCTATTCAAATTTAACATCATGCCATAGCCTACACATCTACAATGCAACTAGTAAAATGACCAATATTGTCATAATAATGATTTTGTATACACCCAGTTTCATGAAAATCAATAGGAACTTACAGGACTTAATAACATAGTCTACACGATATTCAATATTCAGGTATACAGGCAATAAGTCGTTTAATAACAATAACAATATTGAACATCGACTAATTGCATCATTACGAAATAATATGTATAGGGTAGGCTTGGTAGTTATGCACGATATATTTGGGTGAATTGATGTATCGAGATACAACCCGACACGATACGATAATGCAAGGTCATGTTTCTTTAAGTGAGGATACCTCTCGTTCCATGAAAAGTGGTGATATTTGGTAATAAAGAAATAAATCTAAAATATTGAAACTTTGTAGATATATTAGGACTGGGCGATATTAGTTCAAGGGTTTTAAAACTGACCTTTAGCATTGTACACAAACATACAAGTTTTTGAATACAAAGTAAAACATCAGCATCATTTCAAGGGGTATTGTCACAAACCATATTCTAACATGACATTTAGAATAAGCTTATGTCCATTCAATCCATTCTAAATTGGAAGAAGTTAAGTTGCCAGACAAAGAAGCAACTACATTTGGTAGAAAAGAAACCCTCCTCTGAATGAAATGTGAACCACGATTAGAAGCTACAAATTTACCAAAACATAAATATGGGTGATTTCAAAATTAAATTCAAAATTCATCATGATTGAGACATCGATAGTGTTTACCAGTTTAGTTAAAATGTGTTTCAAAGAACAAGGGAAAATCCTTCTGATTTTTTTTTTTCAATAGGGTATATCCTTGGATGATATTTAATATTGATAAAAAACAATTTCACAAATTTTTTTCAAAATCCATCAAGATTTGTTCAATCTACAATGTTTATGAGTAAATATCAAATGCGTTAGGAAGAACATGGGCAATAACTCTTATCTATATAATAAGAGTTTCTTTAAAGAGACAGATGTGCCCTTCTTTTTGACCAATCATACTTTAGTCTCACTGTCGAAATACGAGCCTTCAAATTCATGTGTGTCCAGAAGTATCGGTGTTTAAATGTTAAAACGACGAATAGTGAGTGAAATTCCTATTTGAGATATTTTTGAAGGAATTATGCGATTTTCGTAAATTTCTAGTACCGGTAGGATACCTCAGAGTATTTACATATTTTCAAGACTCAAATCAACCTCCCAAAATGGCGCACCTGTCCCTTTAAAAAATTTACAAGACCTTGTGTAAATCCATCATGTTACTGTGGAAGAAAGTAGGTGAACGAAAAGAGACACGGTCTCCCTCTTGTGGATTATACGCTACCGGTACCGAATACCAACATTTTAAAAGCAGATGTAATTTAGAATAATTATAGTTTAAAAGTTAATCATATTCATCTTGCTAATTCACCACTCTGTCAATGATTCGATAAAGTTTGAAATAAATTACCACAGGAGTAGAGAGAGTTTGTGTTTGAGTTTGACGCCAGCACTGCCAGCAGAGTCAGAAATTTGTTTGTCAAAATAAGGCCATAAATATTTTTTTTTTATATCTGATACATACCTTTTCAATCCGTTCAAAATGCTCTTTTAAGAAAACAACAGGATTCTCGGGTTTATTTACGCATAACTGAACGATGCAGTCTTTCAATATTTGTTGTATATTATGGCTCTGAACATAAGATTCGCATTCTTTGAGATTTTGTTCTTCGTCTGACATCGCGGCCATATTGGTGGTAGCTTCTATCAACAAGTCTTCATAGGGAAATTTGATCTATAGGGTAAACATAGGTAAAGTCGTTCATGGCAAGGTAAACTGTCCATAAGCTATGTCACATGTAATTGCAATTTTAAAGGAAATAATGACAACAAATTTTGGATGTTACTGTTGCCATTCGAGTCTTCGATATATAAATATATCAATAATCCCCCATTACTTATTTTGACTTAGCGTTTATAAGATTGAATTTTGACAGATTTGTTTTTCGTGGCATTTATGCTGGTTTCTGAATGGTGATTATGGTGATATAAATACTATGAAAATAAATTAGTTTACACCATAGAGTTCTATCTATAACTCTGTGGTGTACACTTGTCTGATAAAAAAAAATCCACACGGCAGTAAGTAATGTATTCGGTAGTTAAGAGTCGTTTAATTTGCAAGACTTTAAACTACCAAAACACGACTCACTGCCGCTAACTTTAAAGTCGTTGGAACTGAAAATCTAGGTTGTAACAGATGTGAATTGACGTGTGTTAGGTAAGGAACTTTTTCCTTTCTTATACCTAGAAATTTCGAGATTATATAAACCGATGAGGATATTTCAAACAAAATAGAAACAGACTATTCGGACTAATTAATGTGAAATGTGACTATCGCAAGCAACTAAAATATTTTCATCAAATAACTACATGAATTGGTTGGCTTCACTGCTGATTAGAAAGAAGTCTTTGTCGTCTTGTATGAAGTTAGTCTCTTATATTTGTAAATGATTGAAGAGGTCTTTCTAAATCAAAAGTTATGTAAACCAAATTTGACAGGAGATATAATCCGAAACTTTCCGAATTTTTCCGAATTTTTGTTGGAAAGCTTTCAATTATAATATCTAGTATAGTATCCTGAAAGGCTTCAGCATTTGGGAAACAATGTATTCTGTATAATAGTGTTTTATTTTTGCTGGGAAATATGCAGTGAAAATTATCAAAATATGTTTTTTTTTAATTTTAAGGTCAAAGATCCAAGATGTCTGCAATGAACTTTCTTGATTTGCCATGGGAACATGTTATCTGTAAGAAGATTTTAAGATGTTTAAGAATCGGTAATCTTTTTCGTTTGAGAGCTGTGTGTAAGGATTTCAGGGATTTAGTTCAACTTTACTTTGATACTGGCTTTTACCTAAATCTTCTTCCATGTTCAGGACACATGACATCAGCAGCTTTTGTGATTATCACAAGAAACTGTTACTGCATCAAACGAATGAATCTATCAAATGGTAGAAATTGGCTTCAGAATGACAATCTTATACCAGTGTTAAGGAATAATAATCAATTGATTGTGATTAATTTAACTGGTTGTTCCAGTCTTACTAACATTTCTCTGCAAGCAATAGCCTCTAACTGTCCAGGTTTACAAACACTGATATTGCGAGATTGTTATTGGATTAATAATGAAGGTATATTATCAGTGTGTTTAAACTGTAAAGAAATAGTTCATCTAGATTTAACCGGTTGTTGGAATATTGGTGATAGTACAATCAACTCTTGTTTAATGCGATTAAAATTGTAAGTTGTTTGGTTAAAAACGGACATGGACAATATACTGAGGTTCTTTGTGCTACAGACTGCGCACATTAAAGGTTTCTTGATAGTTTGAAATCCAGAAAAAAGTATGCTGCTGTGCTGCAAAATTTCCCTCATTGCATGCTGCCAGTCTTCATTAGCCCAATTACATGCAGAAATAGAGGATGGTTAAAGGTCTTTTTCTCTTAATCAAAGAATAATAAAACTTGCTTTGAACTGTTTTCTGGTTCTAAGTCTTACGAAACAGTTATTTCGACAAAATGTGCATCTAACTTTCCAACAACGCAGCATCTCTTCAAAGTCCAATTTTTTAGCATATTTGGTAGAGTAAAAAAAATCCTAGTTAAACTATGCAAATATTACTGTTGCTGAACAATTGTTACCATGTATGTACTTTACTTTTCTTTTTGTTACAGTTTAGAAGTTTTATCATTAGCTAAAATCTATGGAGTTACTAATAATACAATAATGGCAATAGCAACGACATGTAAAAACATACGCCATCTTAATATACATGGATGTTGGAGGGTGACAAATGAAGCTATTTGGTATGATTTTAATTTTGTGATTTTTGCAAGTTCATTAATAATTCATATTTTCAACTATCTACATCACTTTTATGAATGAAAATCTGATGTATGGTTTGCCTGCAATTAAATGAATATAAATTGCTTAAAGTGGCAAAAAGTGATAATAGTTAAATTTGGTCTCTATATAATATTGCACACAAAACAAAAAAAAAGAGATCTGAAATTAGTCAGCTTGTTAAGATTCTTTACCAGATGATGAGAATATTTTCAACATCTCAACAGATGCAGCTTGCTATTTTTGAGATGAACCTTTTCATTGATCAAAATGTTTCAGAAGATCTTATCAAAATTTAAATTCCTTAAGGTGCAGGCACACAAGCTGTTTTAGTAGAAATTTTTGTCGCCGACTAGAGTCTTGTCAGGATTTTTGTCAACACAAAATCAGCACATGAGGAGACAAAAATCTCCATTCGGTCGATTTCTATTATGTGCAGAGCATGCACTTGAAAGGAAAATGAATCTGATTGGATGATGACAGTCATTTCTTGCAGAAGATAAAATGTTGGACGTGGTAATGTTGTCATGGAAGCCTGGGCAGGCGCTTTTTTGCTCTACATTTATATCGCGAACAAAACCCCCGACCAAGACCACTCGTGTGCCGACACCTTTACCAATTCCAATAATGTGTCCAAGGCATCCATGGCTAAGTGACATGTTTTAGACAGGGCGTGGAATATCGAGGATGAGAATTGTCAAACAGCACTCAAAATAAAGGGCCAGTGGTATATTTATATGAAAAACCTCTGGTATATGGTTTGGTGATAATTTATTTGTATTTGTATATTTGTAGGTTGTTAGGAGAATATTGTCTAGCATTACGTATGTTACAAGTAAAGGACTGTAGAGATATCACAGAGGCTAGTCTAAGTCGTCTTAGAGCCAAGAAAATTCGCATTGATGTCCCACCACCAGCGGGTTGCCCAAATTTAGCTATATTAGCTGGTAGATCATTGCATATCCAAACTTGATATATTATGATTTAGTTTCAGGTTTATTCCATGGGCTTCTGTACTCTTCTACGATCTGAAGAGAACCTTCTTGAATTGCTCACTTGACATCCTGATTTCAATCTTTGTCAGGTTTATAAATTTAATATCTCAAACTTTCTCACCAGACTTGTGGGATCTAGAATCTAGAAAAAACAAGAAGATATTTAGATTTATGTGTTCAAATCAAAACAATTCCAAACCTAGATATATTACCATTTGCTCAAAATTCCAAATGATAACATATTTCAAATAAAATCCAACCCATAATTGTTTCAACACTGTCAAAATATTGTTTTCTGAAATTATGGAAACCACAAATGTTGGACAAAAACAGAATACCAACAGAAGCTGCGTATCTTTCAAATTATTCTTTTGATGGACCAGAATTAAAGCGAAAATTTGATTTTTTAATGGTTTTCAAAAACTTACTTTAAAAGCACTCTTAACTGGCAATTGCTTTAGTGAGTGTATGGTATTTACTGGTAAAATATCTTCATTGGATGTATAATATGGTGTTTATATTACACTGTTACTAATTGTTGTGTAAAAATTATTATTGTTATGTCTGTAATAAAATTATCATATTTGTCTATTTCTTTATCTTAGAATAATAACACAGAGGGACTGACATGGAAAAGGTGCCTAGTCTTTTGATGTGACAATAAACTGAGGCCCAGTGGTACAGGCTGTGTAGGTGGAAATAGGCAAATGCTTGTGTTCTGACAAAATTGCCGTCTTAAATAGCCAATTAGGTGCATAAAAGTAGGATATAAAAACCCTATTCATTTCATTTGAATAATTACAGTGCCATAACAGATGAAGATGGGTGGATATTAGATAATTTGTTCAGTGAATTGACTCACAATATTAATGATCGATGTCTTAAGGTGTGGGTACATGAACAGCCTGGGTGCCAATTTATGTCACCGACAAGAGTGGTCAAGAGTTTCGGGCACACTTGACAAAAATCTCCAGTCGTTTTCCCCTGCACGATATGTGCGGATCATGCAATTGAAAGGAAATGAATCTGATTGGATGATGACGTTCTGTCTAGCAGACGATAAATTAACAGGCGACATATATCAAACTTCTTATAGATCCTGTCAACAACGTGATAATATTGTGAGGGACGTGTAAGATTTTTCTCCAGAAATCAGCAACCTTGACTGTTTGTGTGCCCGCACCCTTAAAGTCTTGAAAGACTTTACCATCAAGGATACAAAATATCCATCCTGCACCAGCTGTTCATTATGGCCTTGATATTGTCAGATATTTTGTGGTATCCTGTCATTTTTGGATCAGAGCTGTTCATTATCTTATTAAGCAATAGTAGATAAGATATTATAAAGGATACATTTGGTTCTGGTTGGCCAGATGACTTGTTTGATTGACAACTGTAATCTTTACTTATTATACAGCCTGTAACACACAAAATTTATCAAATGGCTTGCAAAAAAAGAAAATATGCAACAAAGTCATGGATTTAAGTGTTACCACCATGTTGATTGGTAACTTTCATGTCTGCTTTGGTGTCACATTTCATCTGTTGGTTCTTGAAATCTGACCAAAAGTAGGGCTAGTAGTATCAAAGTTGGTCACCTCCAAAACACAAATTCAAGAGAAACTGTTGCAAGAAAGAAATATAGTTTTAATTTGGACTAATTTAATGCTCTCACTACAATTAAATACAGTGCAAAACAATTCAATAGCTAAGGATCACATGCAAAATTTTTCCATTTAAAGGGACAGATGTGCCATTTTGGGGGGTTGATTTTATTCTTGAATATATGTACTATAATGTAATAGAAATGTACGAAAATCACATAATTCCTTTAAAAATATTTCAAACTAGGAATTTTACTCTCTATTTCTATATATCACAGAGTATCTTAAATTGATGATTCCTAATTTTAACATTCAAATGCAGAAATTCTGGACACAAATGGATTTGAAAGCTCAAATTTCAACCTTGAGCTGTGAACACTATTACTGATTAACTCAGCAGAAAAAAATTCCAGTTGCTGAAACTAAAGTATGATTGGTCTATAAAAATAGCCTACTTAATCCCTTTAAGATTAACATTTTTACTTTTCAAAATTTAAAGTTTTTTTGGGGTTATCATAAAGTCACCAAATACATCATAAATATCAACTGGAAGAATCTACTGATTTTTGAAAATTTACATCACACATGAGTTTTGACTTGCAAGGATGGAATTACCACTTGTTTACCATAGTAGATGGTTTGTGTTGAAGTTTCCGAGATTCCCAGATGGGCATAACTACCCTATTCTCCTACATCATGACATTAACTTTGAGCAGAACTCAATACAATATCCATTGTGAAATCAAATATTAATATACTTTTAAATTATGACTATATCAAACTTGGGTCTAATTTTGAGACTCATTGTTTTTTTCATTTGCGAGTTACAAGCTTCTGATAATATTGGCAAGTATAGTCCCTGAAAGAAATTAAAGGGATTGTTATGAGGTTTTCTAAATTTTTATGCGTATTGGGGACACTGAAAGCATCAATTTTCACCACTCCAATTTTGAGTCAGACGTCTGTGGTTCCTTTCACTGATTCCTAAAATTCCACAAAAAAATAAGTGTTTGATGATGTCACTAATTGCGAAATTTGCACAAGGCTCTTAGCGATTAGTGACATCATCAAACAACAAATTTAGAAAATCTCTTTAAAATCCCTTTAACTGTTCCTCATGTAATTACATGCTAAAAAAGATGGAAAGAAAGCATTTCGACTAGATCCAAACATATTTCACATATTAAGTACATATTTTATTACAGAATAAAACTTATCAAGCAATAATCAGACTTTTCACTTATTAAAACACTACATTAATTTCCACAAAATATGATATGATATGTTTTCATTTAACGACATTGTTTCGCATCATTTGGAATGTTTCAAGAATGATATGGATTTTAGATAATCACAAAGTTTTATTAAAATATGTTGATCATAATAACAAATGTTGATCATAATAACAAATTTTGGTCATAATAACAAATGTTGATCATAATGAAAAATTTTTGGCTACAATAACAAATTGTTGATCAAAATAACAAAAGGACTTTTTTTTTGTACAAATTAACAAAATGTTTTAAAAAATAAACGGTTTTAGTCCAGCAAAGATTTTATATGCATATCTGGGGACAATTAAAACTTAACGACTTTATTTTGAAGTAGAGAAAATAGTAATTGAAACCATACAAGCTCAGCCACAAGAAAGGTGGCTATTGCAGTCAAGGTATAAGATGCAGTTGGTAATAGTTTGACGTTGTGAAGATGTTATTCATTGCAACTTCAAAACCTAAAACTAATATTATACAACATGTTTTTATTTGAATCATGCTGGACTACACGTATATTCAAAACATCAAATTGTCTTCCAGATAACAAATTACTTGATCACAATAAATAAAGAGTAGGTCACATTAATAAATTGTAGATGGTCACAATAACAAATTATCTTCTCTAACAAATTACTTGATCACAATAAATAAAGAGTAGGTCACAATAACAAACTGTTGGTCACAATAAATAAATTGTAGGTCACAATAACAAATTTCTGGTCACAATAAAAAATTGCAGCTGTTCACAATAACAAATTGTAGGTCACAATAAATAAATTGTAGGTCACACTATATAAAGTGTAGGTCACAAAAAATAAATTGTTGGTCACAATAACAAATTGTTGATCACGATAACAAACTTTAACATGTTCTTTTTTAACTAGAAGAAGACCTACATAATTATACAACAATAAATAAATTTTCTTATAATTTGTAAATATATAAAACACAACCATAACGTAAAAATCTGTCTCACCTTCAAAATTATTGTTAGTAAATATTTCAATCACAATATTTATATATAAAATAGATGTTTACAGGTCGGATTCAAATAGTGAGGCACGATATATCACATTTTGTGAGACTTAATAACAGTTAATGATAAAAGGATTGCTAAGAGGTTTTCTAAGTTTGTATGTGTATCGGGCACTTATGTGATAAAGCATATTTTGCAATTAGTCAAAACACTTAGTCTTTGTGGTATTGCAGGAACCACAGATGTCTGACTGAAAATTTGAATGGAGCAAATCTATCCGTGTCAATACCGATACACATATACAATTTAGAAAACCTCTTCACAATCCCTTTAATGGTTAAATAATATATAAACACTATAGTTACTATTATTGGAATGAACACTATTTTTGGCTTCTGTAATTATCAGTTAATTTGTAGACATTGAAATTTGTTTTTATCTGTTTACATTCTTCACACTTGTATTTCTTATTGACTCTGAACATTAATAAAGCAATGTAAAAATAACTTTATTAACAATGTGGACTCTTAAAAGGGATGTCAAGTGCAACAGTTCTTGATATCATTGTATCATAAATAAGCACATTTGGAATTAAATGGGTTTTAAGTCACTATTTTCCAGAACCCTATGTAAATGTTGTGGGGGAGTGGGGGGATTTTGGTCAGTAAGCAGCATTATCCAAATCTTTTTTAAAGCTGGACAAGGCCACATCACTGATAGGAGAAAAATCTTGACTCACTGGGTCCCCCTTGATGAAATGAATGTCTATCACAAAGCTGTTTGTAGGTTTAAAGGGAATTATATATGAACCACTATAGGATATAGAAATAAATACATTATTTTAGGATCCTAAATAAATTAAGTAAAGAGTAAAATTGTAAGTTGTCAAGCACATCATACATCAAATATAATGAATTACAAAAAAAAAAGATGGGAATGTAAATACTAAGAGATCAAATATGAAATAATCAAACCATAACCAAGTTACAAGCCAAAAATAAGCATATAATCTGCTATGGAATGTTTTAAAAGCAGAAAATACAACACAAAAAAACAAAACCTTTCAGAAAATTGTAAAAATCTATATGATAACTGACAAAAATTATATGTATAATAAAGAAATTGTGTGAAGCCTGTGAATTACTGAGCGAATCAACCAAAATGCATCATCCATACAAATTCATTGCATAGTCAAATCAAACAATTAAGTCTTTTTTTTTCACAGACCACTAGTTCTTTAAGAAAGTTGATTTGATATTGGGCTATTTGTTATTTATATAATATTATCATACATTTCATATACTTCTGGTGTTAAGTAAATCATTTTGTCTCATTGTTAAATCGAAAAATATACATGTATTGGAATGTATCAGAGTTTTGATGAATTTAGAGAGAGTTTCAATATCTTTAAAATTTATCATTAAGATTAAGATAAGATTATTTAACTAAGTATAGCACTGCTCTGTATATTTCCAATATTACAAAGGTGCGTAGCAGAAATCATTTATGAAATCCCATTTCTGTGTACTGATATACAAGGTGTATTTACTATGCGCAGTATATATGGAATATGTCAGTAGCTTCCCTCAACTACTCAATATTTGGCATAATTTAACATGTTAATGCTATGACACAAAATTCAAGCTATTCAACATCTTAAAGATGTGTATTGACATTTTTGTTGATTTGTTAAGGGTTAAATACTAGCAATATATATACTAGAGAAGCAATATTAGGCTAATAATTAGCTATTAGATAGAAGAATGCAGAATCGGCAAATGCAGTTCAACAGAGAATGTTCCAAAAGAATTAAGTATTAAATCAACCAAACCTATGACTGAAGAAATATTGATATTCTGATAATTGTACCTATACTAGGCATTATAGTTATTGAATTTATGAAACACGATTTGAAAATCTTAATTTTTGATTTAAATAAAGTCATTATATAATAATATATACTAGTAATTAAATATATACTATCTAACGAGACAGATCATTATTTACTAATACCTAATTTAGCCTGTAAATATTTAGACGATATTTTTGAAGCATGTTTCTTAAGATAAGCCGGCCCTCCATTTTTCTGCCATTCATTTTCAAATTCGTTTTCTAGAATTTCCGCTCCTTGTTTCTTGGTTAGACCAGTCTCTTCTAAATTGAGTTCACACATCTGTATATCATCCACTCCTGAAATTTTAAACATCATAATTCTTATTTCAATATGTTAAGCATTTCAGTTCCCAAGCAACTGTATATATACTGATTGATCTATATAGAAATATAGCCTGTCAAAATTAACTTTCTAATTTCATATGGTTGAGTATTTATGAAAAACCATGAACTTTTTTTTAGGTTGGTTTTGCATAGTTTGTATTAAACTCACTTCATTATTAAGTATATATGTAAACAGACGACCTCAAAAGGCAAAATTGTTCTTTTAACTCAAGATTAGGGTACATACAAGAGAGGCTAATACTTATTTAGCTTAGACTTTTAAAAGCTGAGAAGCTATACCACCCCATCATTATAATGTCCAGCTATTATGAACTTTTTCTTATACCTTGACTGCAATAACTTTCTTGTATCGAAGATGTTTATATCTGTAGTGATTTGATTGGATTATACGCTAGTAAATACAGCTAATCAGAGGCCTCAACAGAACATCTGTTAACAATAAGCCATAATATTCACAGTCATTCTGTCAAGGGCTCTGATTGGTTGTATCTTAGGCGTACATTCCAATCAAATCACTGCATTCTATGATACAAGAAAGGTGGATATTTCCTTTTCACCCAATCTCCAGATTTTTCAAGGCAAATCTCCAGATTTTTTTTCCTGACCTGTACACATGTATGATTTCAGTCAAAGTATAAGATGAAGACTGTAATAGCTTGCAATTGTGAAGATGTACTACCCCTAGCATTCCCAGATCCACTGTGCTTATAAATAAATAATCTAACTACACCATACCTGCTAATAATAATATAGCTGGTTTATCTTGATATAATTCCATTTGTCTAGCTATCCATTTACCATCAAAATGAGCATACCACATACCATGACCTTTAGGACCAGACTCTTCTCTATATTCATCAGATGGTTTAGCAAATGGTATACGGAAATATCTTTGGGCTGCACCTTTTTCTGATGCTGGTCTTCGTTGAGGAGGGGCAGGGGCATGTTCAGCTAAAAAAAAAATTGAAAGGAAAATCAATTTGCAATCATATGACCTGAAATTTCTTCAGAAAGTCCATCAAATCTTTAAGAAAGGTAACCATCTAGAACAATATTTGTTTTATTACCATCACAAATGTTTGGAATATGTGCAAGTTTGGATTTATTGTCACCATAATTTGAAAAAGTTATTTCTCTGCATAAGTAATTAGGAAAAAGGCTGAAAAAACTTTTTATTACAAAATTTTTGCCCATTTTTTCTAAAATTTGTCTAGACTATTTTTGTATTGTTTCATGATGTATTTTTGATGGAGGAAACAGTATTGTTAAACAGGTTTTAATTTTCTTACCATTTTGAACCAATTCATTTGGTGCTCTTTGATCACCAGCATCAGTTCTCTTCTTGTTTTTGGATTTCCAGCTGTGATAAACTTTAAGTCTTCTATGGAATTCTTCACGACATGCATCTAATAATTCTAAATCTACAAAGAGGAAAAAAGGTTCTTCAATAATATGTATTTTCCACCAGCATGATGTTATAGTTCACTTTGGTTGAACCCATTTGGTGATTTTGTCTGTTCCAAACACCTACTGAACAGGATATGACACATTCAATATATACCCTTCTATTCCTTTCTTAGCAGTTTAGAACTTACTTTAGCACACATAGAACACATACTAAACCCTGTTCCAACTTATTATATTGAATTTCCGGTTGATTATGCTGAGTGAGCAAAAATCACCATTTTTTTTTTTTGCAACAGACAAGTAATGGAAAGTAAGTAATTATATATAACCTACCACAAGATGTATTAATAGCATCTCTAAGTTCAGCATATTTCCATTTAGTAAGATCATATTTTTTAGCTGCTGCAGCTTGTTGTCTAGCTTTTGCCTCTTCTGATCTAAAAACATAAAACAATCATTGAAAACAGATATTAATTTCAGCTAGATGTATCCCTTTTCAGAATGGAAATCAGACTTCTGGTGAGTTTAGTTATAAATACAAACAAATAGAAGTTAAAGGCTGAGTTATTAAGATTTTCCCAGGCAGATAGTACCTAACTCTTTATTGTATCTGTGGACGACCAGGATAGTTGTTTGACCAAATGATCTGAAATGCAGACACTTGAACAAGTACCACTTCAAAAAAGACACCAATGCCCTATGATTGCCTTCTAACAGTGGAAAATCTTTCTTGTTATGGTTTTATACATCATAAGATACAGGTTAAGAAAAGTATAGCTAGTTTACCTCTGTAATGGTGGGGGTAAAGTTATATCTTCTACTTCATTCTGGTCTTCAGAAGCTAATCTTAAAGCTAATTCTCTATCTCTATGTTCTTGTTCCAATAACTGTTGTCTATAAGTCAATAAATAATGGCAACTTTATTCGAATGTCAACATTACAGATGCAATGCTGAAGAGATCCTCAATGAAGGCAGACTGTAGTTCATTGTCAGAGCATTGGAATCTTGATGTCATAGTATTTTATATTGGTCAAAATTAGATGCAATACATCAAAGTAATGTAGTCCTGTCTTACATCAGTTTATTGGAAAAAATGAAATGAATGGAGTTTTACGTCCTACTTTTCCGCACCATGTGAGCTAATGAAGACAGGCAACGCCATGCAGGGTGCAATGAGGGAAATTTTGCCAGGACAGCAGCATTAGCCTGCTCTTTTTCGATTTCCAACTGTCGAGGGATCGTGCACAGCCTGTAGCACACGGGGCCTCGGTTTATTGTCCCATCTGAACGACTAGACGCTTTTTCCATGTCAGCCCCTCTCACCTGCATCACTAACAGGGTGAAGCCAGGTTGAAAAATGCAAAGGTATTATATTGGCCGGGATTGAACCCTGGACCTTCAGGTTAGCGATGACATCTTTCATTTTCCAGAGAACAAAGATGTTAATGGATATGATTAGACAAGGAAGACTTATTCTTAAGAAGTTTGTCTTAGAACTAGCTTGAAGACGTGAAACTCTTCATTCAGAACACCAAGTTTCATGTAGTTATTTAATGTATGAATGTAGCCTACCTTTGAGCATTGGCTTTAGCATCTTCTTGTAGTTGTTTCTGTAAAGCTTCCTATAAGAAATATATATCAGATTTTTTAAATGGTTTTCATTTTTTTCCTTTACAAATGGGGCATACAGTAACCAGTACATATACATTGATTCCTTTTTATCAGTGTTTTTTTCTTCATTTGTTGTAGGCCTATGCTAGGAAACTATGCATGGTTGTAGTAAAAGGAGAGTATAACCAAAAGGCAAAAGCATAGCAGTCAACACCAGTCATGTTGTCATGGAAACTGATATTATCAAACTTACAGCTGCTTTTCTATCCATTTCCTCTTGCTTCTTTCTTTCATCATCTTCCTTCTTACGTTTAGTCTCCATTTCAGCTTTCCTACAAATAAAACCATCTTTAATAAATCAAAATAAAAAAAGGAATGCAATTTTGCGAGAAAAAAACTTTACAATCATCTTTTCTAACAACTGTACAATATTTTGATATAGACTTGTTGGCACAACAGCAAATATCAAATTCAAGTATTCTGAAAAAATTGTATATATAGTATATTTTAGATTAGATCTTTGAAAAAATGGTCTCCAGATACATTTTAAAATCAATAACATATTTAATATCCACAACTTAAAGATGGGTTTCCTTATTTTTTTTAGCAAACTATTAGATTAATTGGTCTTTCTAATGAATTATCATGTATTCTTAATCATATCATTAAGTTCTTATTGCATATAATTAGTTTTTTCCAATCATGTTATGTCCATGTATGTACATGTGGATAAACATAAAAAGACTTTTTGACCTTTCTCGATCAGTCACTCATTGGAATTCTGCTGGTAATTCTCTTCTAATTAAGCTAATTATGAATTAATTATTGACATGTGAGACATACTAGTATTTTTCCAAGTCATTAGAACTACTTTCTATTCATATAAGTATTAGAATTTTCATTTTCATAAATGAAAATAAGGGAACCCATCTTTAAAATGAAAGTAAACTTATAACTTACAATTTTCTTTGTTTTTCTTCTTCTAGCCGTTTTCGTTCCTCTTCTTCTTTTTGCTTCTTTTTTCTTTCCATTTCTTCCTAAAAATTGTATAATAAATAAATTAAAAATTCAATTTTCTTGTAATTTGCAGTGTTTAATTAAGATTTGCTGCAATGTTGAAATTTTGGTTGCTTACGGTATTCATTCACTCAGTTTTGAAGTCTATTTCCTAATGAGAAACTGTCTGGAAGCATTTATCTAAGAGGTACAAAATGCAGCATAAAAAAAAAATTTACCTGTATTTTTCGTAATCTTTCTTGTTCCTCAGCATTTTTTTGTTCTTCCAACTTCTTCTTTAAGCCAGCTAATTGTTGATCCATATTTACAGTTAAACTATTGTATAGGTTATCTAGTTCTTGACGTTTCATATTGGATGACTAGAATATATAGAATATTCAAATACAACACGTTCTTTTCTATACAAAGGCAATCGAGGCAAATCTGTTGCGTAATGGAGGCACATGCCTCACTTTTGAAATGACGACCAAACTGTAGGTGTCTTTTTTTACCATTATGCATTTCATATCCATCCAGATCCTCTTTGTCTCATCTTAACTTTGATTGTGCTAGACTATCATTACTACTCTTAGAAGTTGATATTCTGAATCGATAGGGTTCATCCTTGGTTGATAACAAACACTCACACCAAGTTTTGTCAAAATCAATCAAGAATTGTGCCTTCTAGAGTGTTTGTGTGCTAAAAATTGAATGCGTTTTCAAGAACAAGGGCAATAACTCATACTAGGACAAAATTCAATTGACTAAAAGACCAGACCAGAAATGAAATGAATAGAGTTTTACGTCCTACTCTTCTGCACCTAATTGGGCTAATGAAGACGGGAGACAAAACAATAGAGGACATTGGCAGGAAAATGAAATGAATTGAGTTTAAGGTCCTTATATTCTACACCTTATGTGACAATGCCTAATATTTCTACCATTATAAATTTTAAGACCAAAACAATCAAATAACAATACTTACTCTTATTTTCTTTAAGTTTTCTAATAAAACATGATCAAAATCTTTAACTTGTTTAGTGGCAGCTTCCTTATCTTTCTTCAACTGTGAGACAATTTGTCCCATCAATGCCATTTGTCCCTGTAGACCTATTACTTTCTTTACTGTTTCATACCTAGAAATAACATCAATATATATATAACATTACCCTAAATGTTATACCTGTTCCTGTGCTTCTGAGGGTCGACACCCATATAACCTTTCAGAATGATAATCTGAAATTTGGTTTGCAAGCAATAGAAAAATAAAGAGCTATAAATGGTCAATAGGATGATTGTCATTGGCAATATTATTGGATACAAGCTTTCCATGTCACTTTAAGAATAAAATTCTTACATCTAGTTTGTATGCGATCAAAAACACAAAGAGGTATAGGATGTTATAGACTATCAATTTTGTAATCATCTACATGGCTGAGTATCTTGTAACGATTTTGGGAGAAGAAAGGCAACATCATGTAATGCTCCTTGTTTAAAAGATCTCATTAAAATTGAAAGAAATGACTTACTTGGGTTTAAATGCACGTCTACATTTCCACATTCTAGCTGTTTTCTGTATCTTAATATACATGCTATTTCTATATTTAATCTTGTTCTTCACTGAAAAAGAACCAAAATATTTTGAATAATTTTCTTTACTCAGTAACTAAAAGCAGGCTATCCAGCACATATTGACGAAACTAAGGGATTGGCCTTAAATGGGTTAAAACTAGGAATTTTATAACTAAATTTAGACAGTTTTCGACATTTATATGGATTACCGGTACTTTCCCAAATTTGACACTTAAGAAAGTTGAGAGTGGGGGATCTAGCCAGCCTGTAAAAGCTCCTCCCGAACAAATATATCTTGGCTAGAGAAAAGGCTTTTTCTTAAGACACCTAGAGTATGGTACTAATAAGTATTAGCTCTTGTTTACTCTATTATAATCATATCTTACATTTAATAACAGATAGAGCTCCCCATTGAGCTTTTCTCCATCGAGAGCAAATCAACCATTTCTTGACTTTCTTAACCAGTGCTGCTAAATTCTCAGGATCACTCTTCATAATTTGATCAAACTCAGCAAATTTTCCAGGTCGGAAAAATACTTTAGTTAATCCAAATTTAAAGTCTTTATCATCCAGACCTAGTGCTTTGAATAGAGCCTGAAATATGCAATACCAACATACAAACATAGCCATGAATACTTATGATAGCTTATCAGGCAAAGGTAATATATGCCCACTGTAGCAGTACAGTAACAATCACCAGCATGAAATATTCAACCTTCAGTCATACACTTCTTTTGAACTTTTTGGGGCAATACTGAATAATATTACCACAGTTGTCAATTGTTCTTTCTAAGAGTGTTTACAGGCTAAAAATTGGAACCTTGAATATTGTTTGTAACTTCAATGAACGTGGTCACTGCTTTCAAGAGAAAATACAATAAGATAAATGGAAGTTCCTAATAAATATTTTTCTTACCTTACAGAATAATCTAGGATCTAAACGAGAGAGTTCAGGTGGTAAATATGATTTATACATATTATATAAATCAGAAAACTGAGTACGTGATGGAAAACCTTGCTGCATCAGATCTAATACAGATATCATACCTAAAATATAATCATATTCTTTTATATCATTACTGTCACACTTTCCTAATCATAGCCAGTTCAGTTTAGTTGACATACTTCATTTGGCCACAACTATTTAAAATTCATGTGTCAGAATTCTGCACTGATTGGAACTTTAATCAACGTCTAACGTTAAAATTGTCTAATGCTACTTTTTCACATAAAGTTCTATAAATATTGAAAAGAAGTTACTGCATGTTTCTTTTCAAAATTATATTTAAAGGAAAAAAGTTCCAAGTTTTGAAGAAAAGCATACAAGCAGGGCTGAAGCACAAAATGGCCAATGAAAGGCCTCCACTATTACTTACCAGCACATTGCAATTGACTCAGAATTTGAGCTCCTTCATACAAATGATCCACCATCTTTGAATTAGGTTTAATACATCGTATGAAATTTGTGCCCTAAAAGAGAAAAGTTTGTTTCACATTAAAAAGTGTATTTCTGTGATATATCTATTAGAAATAAGAAAAATTCCATCTATTATTTTTATCTGAATAGGAACAGCTGCTTCCAAATGGTAAAACTAGCCTTAAAACGCTATTATATTGACAAAAATTCAATCAATTTTTTACTTTTAAGTGTGGAATGTACTGAAGAGAAGTGAGTTCTGAAGTGTCAAATTACAAATTAAACTGTATATTTCTATTGAGCACAGAAATAAGGGCATTCATACACATCCTATAGGTGACCTCACACCATAGTGCTTTCAGTAAGCGTATGTTTGAGAATAATGAAAATGGTCAGATGCATGAGAGTTGCACTCAAAACTTTTGATTGCTATTCTTATTCCAACCATACACCTGGTGATCGTTATGGTGTGAAGGCCCTTTTAGTTATATATGGATATACCAAAATTAGAATACAAAATATAGCGCAAAATGATACTTACAGTACTACTAAGTTTTTGCATCAAAACAGTTAATTGTTGTCTGAACTTAGTACCAACACTACTAAATTGTAGTTTGCCAGCTTGTACTTTAGTACCTTCAAATAATTTCTGTACCAGTTTATTCTTGCTGTCTTGTACTAAGAATACCAGTGATGCGTGTAGAGCATCATTATTCTTCTCTATAAACTGAGTCTGTAAAAATAACAAGTGTCACTATCAGAAAAGACTGAAGTTTGTCATTGAAATTCACAATGTTCTGGATTCAGTAAGGACAAGTTGGTTAAAAATTTGAAAAAACTTAAAGAGATTGTAAAGGGCATTAATTTGCACCATTCCAATTTTCAATCTTTGGTTCTTACGATTCTACTGATGTCATAAAACACTTAGTTTAAGTGGAATTGCAAGAACCACAGACGTCTGATTGAAAATTGTAAATCAAGGCTTTTAATATCCCTGATACATATTAAGATGTATAAATTCAGTATGTACTTACAGTATGGTAGCAAACAGCACCAGCAAAATGACGAATTAAAAATCCTTCATCATCTCTCAAGCCACGATGACTTTTCAATTTTGATTTACGTGGATGCTGAAATAAACAGTTTAATATATTTAACAGTCATGAATGTATTATTGGTATTTTGTCAATAAGTTATACCAACAGATAATATATCAAAAGCCAATGAAATGCCTGAATTTTCATTTTCACATCGTGCAGATGTACTCGTATCACATATTAGAATTAGAATCTAGACATCTAGTTCATCTGCGATTCAAGAGCTCTTCTTCATGGAGAGCAAATACTTAGAAGATTTCGATCCATAACAATACTTACACTCAGTCTAAAATGATTTTTATTTCTATTATGAACTTCAGCTGTAAAATGTTCAGGTTTAGGTGTTGGTAATTTACTTTCTTCATCTAGTAATTCAAATATACCACTTCCTTTAGTCTCTACTAGTTCTACAATAAAAGTCAATATAGTTTAACATCTTACTAACTTACTCCTGATTGGACTATTGAATATGGGGAGTGCAGTGTTTGCATTTTGCCAAGACATGAGCCCATTTGCTTTTTATATCTAACTGTAGAGGAATCTGTGCACAGTTCAGAGCACACATGACCTCAGTTTATTGTCCCATTCAAACAACAAGATACAACCGTGGAAAACAGCAGTGTTCAAAATCCAAAATTACCATCTCAACCTAGAGATTGAACTCTGAACTGACATGTTAGCCAGCCAGGAAATAATTGCTAAGCAACCATAGGTGCAGTAAATATATTTGCAGAACAGGGCCTGGTCTTCTCAAAGTAAGACAAATGAAATTAAATGAATGGAGTTTTACGTCCTACTTTTCTGCACCATGTGGGCTAATGAAGACGGGCAACGCCATGCAGGGTGCAATGAGGGAAATTTTGCCAGGACAGCAGCATTAGCCTGCACTTTTTCGATTTCCAACTGTCGAGGGATCTTTAACGTGCACAGCCTGCAGCCTCGGTTTATTGTCCCATCCGAACAACTTCAAAGTAAGACAAATGATTACATACCTATACAATCTTGGTTATCAGTCCACTGAATTTTACGAACATTTAATCCCTCTTTCTCATACAGAATTTGTTCCTGAAAATAGTTATACAGTTTTTAAATTGTCATACATTGAAAAATGGTGGTCATGTGTTCTAATCTCAGTTAGTATGCAAGAAGCTGATGACCTTGGCAAGTTCCTCAAAACTATATCTTCTGAATTACAGGAGGGTGTCATAAAAAAAAATGGAATCCTACTTAATTCATTTACCTCATTTAGAATTCTTTCATTAAAAAATTGTTGAAGTTTTTCATTACAATAATTAATACAGAATTGTTCAAAACTGTTCACTTGAAAATATTCTGAAAAATACATGTACATTATGCTTAAAAATAATTATCAAAATTATTTACAATTGATATATCACATACAAATTGTTAGAAAATAAAGTTTGGAAATTTTAGAAACTGGAAATAAATTTCTAAATGTCTTTCATGAGTTCAAGAAGCTCTCTCACACTAGGACCATAATCACGACACATTTTTGGGCATAAAAGGGAAATGGAAAGATAACCTGAAGTTTTTGTAATGTTTGATAACCTAGAAGGAGACAATATGCAATAAGAAGACTATTACACGGAGTGACCATAACTATAGAAGTTTTGAGTGTTCCCCACTTGTTGATATTTTCATTATCATTGTTTCTAACTAAGTAACACAGTCTTTTAGTGACTACAGTCTTACACTTCTATGGTTATGATGCACCACAAGATAAGCCGACGTCAGATATGGTTCTCAAATTGAACTCTATCAACTGGTATATTATTTCAATTACTTCCTGAAGTCAAAGCTCGAAGTACTTACCAAAACCAGCAATATCTAATACACCAATATAATTCATGGAGGAACCAAATGGTATAGCTTCATTTACACGTCGTACTATATAATCAAATAGTTTAGAATAAATAGCTTTAGCTAAGGCATCACGTCCACTTTGAGCTTCACCAGCTTTTAAAGGTACTCTGGAAAGAAAAAGAAGCATAAAATATCCTGTTTTTTATCAAATCCTTCCTATTCGTAAAGCTGAGAAACTATCAGAAGAAAGAAGTCTGCTTGATAAAAAAAGGTGGAACAGGTTTATGTATATTTCAATGCAAGAAAATGCAAGAGGCAACAAGAGCTTTCAAGATTGGGTCAGCATCATTTATACAGCATAAAACGCGTAATGACATGATTCAAGTTTTAATATTTCTAGTATAAACAGGTAAGACAATAAACTCACTTGATAGCAGTGCCTTTAACACCACCTCTAGATGTTTGCATTACTCTTGATGTTAAAGATTCTCTTAGTTCTTCTTTATTCACACCAATCAAACCAGCAGCTGTTACTAGAGAATCTTCAGCTGCTTTAGTGATCATACAGCCACCTATAAATATTACAATGTTATGAATTATAAAGTCCAGAAGCTGTTACAGGAGAATTTTGTCAGAATCCAAAGGAATTGTATACGTCAAACAAATGATTGTTGTGGGTCCTATCACAGTAAGCATATTAAAGTCTGGTGACTTTGAATAACTCATCTGTCCTCATTATTTCAGTTGACAAAGTTGTAATCCGAGAAAGATCAATGCCAAGAGGTCTGACCAAGGACTAGCTGGTAGACAGGGCATAAAAAAATAGAGAAAACAGATATTATTGACGATGTCCACATCTTCATGAGTTAGTAATTAATTATCAATTAATGGAGAAATAGAAACAGCATTCCTACCTTTGGTATCTTCATGATTTTCTTCAAAGCTAATGTTACCAAGATGTAGTACACTAGCTACAATAGTAAATATTCCTAATCTATCTTCATTATTTATACCCATCTTAGTCATAGCTTCATTACATACATTAAAATCTCGTACATCATCTAATACAGGATCTTTCAAACTACCCTTCTTCAAGTACTGAAATTATTAAATTAGAATAATATATTCCCAAACCAGAAACAGTTGAGAAGTCAAGAGGCCACAACAGTGAACAGTTTGAGTCTAATATGAAGAAAACCTATACCGGTACCATCGCAATTCAAGTACCCTTGCCTACAAATTTCATGGGGTACACATGCAATCATGGATAGTCTAAGATATAAATGCAATGTATCTTGGGATAGAGTAAACATTCTTCTGCCCAGTGTACTGCAACAGCCACAATAAATGTAAAAGCTATAATGAAAGAACCCCCAAAGAATGAACTAAAGATTTGCAGAGAAAAAAATACAAGAAACAAATCTTTATTCATATAGTAAGTACCAGACTGTAAATTTTACTATAAACTGTTTTTTTGTGTGCAGATTTGGACATTTTAAAGAAAAAATTTGATATGATTTTTGTAAACTGGATTTATGCAAATAATACCTATGGATATAAAAATCAGTATGCTTAATGTTTTAGCACTACAAGGAATCTTATAAATACCAATTGTATTCAATGAATGCCAGAACTATTTTTTGTGAATATTGAAAGTTCCATCCTTCCATCCACTGTTGGACATGGACATTGTACAATACATACAATGATGTATTTCACCTTTGATACAGATGATACTTAAAGAGGTTTTCTAAAAAAAAACTTTCAGGGACATTGATAGCATCAATCTGTACCATACCAATTTTCAGTCAGATGTTTTTGGTTCCTGCAATTCCACTAGAAATATGTGTTTGGTGACATCACTAATTGTGAAGGGCCTTATGTGATAAATCATATTTTGAGATAAGTGACAGATGATATTTAAAGGGATTGTAAAGATTTTTCTATTTACGTGTATCAGGGACACTGATAGCATCAATTTGTACCATTCAAATTTTCAGTCAGATGTCTGTGGTTCCTGCAATTTCACTAGAAATAAATGTTTGATGATGTCACTAAAAGTGAAGGGCCTTGTGTGATAGAGTATATTTTGCAATTAGTGACGTCACCAAAAACTTATTAAACTTATTTCTGGTGAAGCCACAGACGTCTGATTGATAATTGGAATCAAGCAAATTGATCCCATCTGTTTCCCGGATACACATTAAAAATTCAGAAAACACTTGACAATCCCTTTATGTAAATCTGTTGAAATGTATGAGTACTATACAAAGTTTTGAAGAAAAGATAACACACAAAGATAACACAATGAGTTATGAGGAAGTATATTGATGTTTTATTGTAAAAGAAGAATAGGACAGCAACAATGAGAAAGATACAGTTTACTGTGTCAACACAACATGGTGAAGAATTTTCTACTAGTCACATGGTCAATATTGATATCGTCAACAATACAGTCAACATTTTATATAGTGTATCGTCTTTCTCAACACCCAAATGTTGTCTTGTCTCTTTTATATACTGTATCTTTCTCAACACCCAAATATTGTCTTGTATCCTATAGAGTTTTATATAGTATTGTTTTGAAAATATTGTCTTGTAACTTATATATAGTGTATCTTCTTCTCAACACATAAATATTGTTTTGTAACCTATATATAGTGTATCTTCTTCTCAACACCCAAATATTGTCTTGTAACCTACAGACTTTTATATAGTGTATCTTCTTATCAACACATAAATATTGTTTTGTAACCTATATATAGTGTATCTTCTTCTCAACACATAAATATTGTTTTGTAACCTATATATAGTGTATCTTCTTCTCAACACATAAATATTGTCTTGTAACTTATATATAGTGTATCTTCTTCTAAACTCATATATAGTTTCATAGTTTCATTTATAGATATAATTTTTATATATAGTGCATAAATATTGTCTTGTAATTATCAAATATGAAATAGATGTCCTAGTAACACAGATAAAGACAAAAACATTGTGGGAAAAGATGCCAAGATGCATAAACTTATCAGACTGGATAACTATTACACTATCAAATTTTATGTGTTTTTTTGTATTGTGCCGAGACCACTAAACCTTTTGGCTCTCAAATTGGAACTGTTTTCAGAACGATTTAATTTGTCATGTATTCCATTATTATTATTCAAGGAATTTTTGTAATGTAAACATGGATTAATTAGTGTCTTGCAACCTACAAACTTTTATACACTTTATCACACATTTCTTATTCTAATTTAACAGCTTTTGACCATTTCAATAATCTTCTTGTATCAAATCTGTAGTAATCTTACCTCTTGACTCTTTCTATCGGCATTCAAATTCTTTTCTGAAGCCCGTGAAATAAAATACTGTGTACAGCCTTGTCTAATGTACTATACAATAAATAGACAACAATTTAGTGCAATAACATGCAATAAGCAGTGCAAAAATACAAATAAGGAACAACAACAACCATTTCTTCATCTTCACAATGGTCAAGGTATTATGAAGCTTGTATTATACCTTGACTACAATAGTCACTGTTCTTGTATCAGGGAATGTAGCAATCTGATTGGATTGTACCCCAGCAAATACCGCTAATCAGAGTCCTCAACAGAAAAACTGTAAAAATTATGGCCTATTATTAACACACTTTCTGTCAAGGGCTCTGATTGGCTGTATTTACTGGCGTACAATCCAATCAAATTACTGAATTTACCATCATCTATGTTGCAAGAAAGTTGGCTTACGTAGTCAAGGTATTAGATGAACTTTGTTCTACCTTGACCAATGGTAAGATGCTATTTCTTTAAAACCATGCTCTCTAAGCAACCATCTATACCATCACTTAACCAATGTGCTAATGCCATTACTCCAGACCAATTGACAGATCCATATTGGTCAAATGCCCACTTTAAAGCTTGCAATTCTCTGATTTAAAGCCAGCTGTTTCCTCAAGCACTGATAACAGCCAAGGTCATTCAAAAGCACTCTCTATTCATTACAATACAACACTAAAATATCAATCATCTTGCCTTTTTTCTAAATATACATCACTAAGGTAACTATTTATCTTTTGAAACTGTAAATTTATTTTTTGAGGGGAGCTACTTTACTTAAGATCTGATAACAACTTCACATACCTTTATGCCTGATTGTATCATCAAATTACTGTAACTCAGTAATGCCTACTATGGATATCAAAGTGGGTGCACAATATACATGCAAGTCTGCATTCATCATTAAATAAACCTACTTCAGAATTTCTTTAAAATGGACATTAACCTGTGTCTTATAATCCTTCAGATCATAGAAATGTTTTGGAAAAAAGCCAAGATGATGACAACTACATAAAATCTACCAAAACAACAACAAAGCCATTACAGATTTTATTAATAGTTTAGACTTACTTGGAATGTATCAGGTGCTCCAAGTTTCAGTTTAGTTTTTAAATCTTCAGGTGCTCCAGCACAAAGTCGGTAAAATATATGATAATTCCTCTCTTCTTTACTCTGAGTACAAATTCTGGACTTCTCTAATAAATAATGGGATATGAATCCACCACAAACTGAAGACTGAAATAAATAAAGATTGTAGAGCAACAAAGCAGACATTAGCGTTTCAAATCAAAAAAAGGAGATGAGTTGACGTTGTACAATTTAATGAAATGTTTCAAAGATAAGCATTTTTAATTTAGTAAAAATCTGAATCAAACCTGATTTCTGTATAAAATGTAAACATAACATCGTAAATAGCTGAAAAAACTTTCAGCTTGTCCAAAATTCAGTCCATATTCAATATTAATACAAATTATGTTTTTGAAATTTGCAGACTGTAATCCACAATCCAATTTAAACACTATGTCGTTTAGCAGAAGACTGAAACCCAATCTTCATTTTTGTTGCATGGGAAATTTACTTTAAGCTGGTTAAAAATAATGCATTTCCCAAACCTTATTGTCAAAATGGATTTCAACAAATTTTCCAAAACGACTACTGTTGTTATTTCTGACAGTCTTGGCATTACCAAATGCTTCCAGAAGGGGATTAGCTAAAATAAAACATTCCAAAATAAAACCATGTAATGATAATCAATAGTAGATGACTAAGAAATTGAGGTGGTATCTTGTAATAAGAAATCCAAGATCTAAAGATCTAAACTGCAAAACAAAACTCAAAATGCAAACAACATATTGGTATAATGGTGGTTTTTCAGTCTTACATCAGCGTCAGGCTGTAAAGGATAATGTTGATGAGTTGAACACTTACATTCTAGAATTCTCTGTTCTACAGGACCAGCATGTGTACCCCAGCTTTCAGCTAGATACTTTAAGATATATTTTGTTGATTCTGTCTTACCAGCTCCAGATTCACCACTAACAATAATAGACTGACTAACTTTATTAACTTTCATATCACGATGAGCCTTATCAGCTATAAAAATAAAATCAATGCATTTTTATTCATTCTTTCTGTAATTTTGAGACTATTTCGCTCCTCAAGACAAGTTTGGGATTTGATTCTTTGACTAGGCCAGGCCCACAGCGAATGTGATTGTTCAATGGCAATAATATATTCCGAGGGACAACAGAGTATGATGTTTATTTGCATTGATGATTGGTCGTCAGATCTTTTTTTTCGGGGAGGAAACTCCATTTTTTGGGGTGCTCCTTCTTTAGTTACACACCTGAACAGGACACTAAAAGTTTAAAATAAATTGATAAGGTTGGGGTCATCTGACATGAACTTTGCTTCCAGTGTGGTTCAAAACACAAAATGCTATATATATATATATTACTATATATATATATAAATTGTGTGTACAATTGAACTCAATCAATATTCTAGACCAAATCCTTCACATAGTGACCATTCATTTACAGTTTCTATACCATTTTCAGTATCAATCTTAACGGTACTTACCAATGGCAAATACATGAGGTGGTAGTGTACCCAATGATTTGCCTTGATATTTCTTTATAGTGTTACTTGAATACAAATCTGGCATTTCATAATAAGGATTAACAGCAATGAGTATATTGGCCGTGTAAGTCTGAAATAAATATTTCATAATTGTTAATTCAAACTTCCAGTCCGTGTAAAGTAGATCACTATGGTTCATATGAAATAGCGCAGTGTGCAATGAGTAAAATTTTGCCAGAACAGTGGCATAGCCTAATCTTTTTTCTAAAGACAAGATTAATCGAAGTGTTATTCGAAATTCTATATTACAAACACAATTCTCAGTGAAATTGTCTAGTGTTCCCAGCACTGTTTGTTATTAGACTAAACCTTAAAGCAAAATACTAATTAGTGACATGTATTTATACAGAGTAAGTAATTAGTAATATGATATACAATATCTTATTACTGTTCCTAATTAACACTAGACAATAATCATCATTATAACTTCTATATCAATATCTTTATAACTCTCAGGCTAACTGGGTTATAACTTCATTTTCAAATGAATCAATTTTTTTCAAAATATCTCGTTTTTGTACCAAAGGTAAAAGGTAACATAACCTCAATTTTATTGCAATTTTTTTCAGAAACAGGTCCATGTGTGCAATGAGGGAAAATTTGCTTACTCTTTAAAATTCTAAAGGCTAACCATTAGTACAATCAAAGTATTGATTTTGTTGGAACTTTTTTTTTTTTTTTTTTGTTTGTAGGTCAACCATTCATGAAAGCTAAGTAATGAAGGATAATAATGATTTTTAGGATTTTTCACTTTTGCAAAATATTCAGAGAATGTGGTCTTTGAGTAAATATTTCAAATGAAAAAGCCATTATTTCAACTACTAAGTAAATAATAAGACTAAATGCCTTTTGCATGAGGTTTTGTTTCTGACATCTGACCTCAAATTTCAAACATACATTACAGTCATTGTTTTCATTCTATAAGGAATACAATAGCTCTACCTATAAACACTGTAAATTACTACAAAATCAATTGTAAATGGTAACCATGGAAACAGTTATTAATTCATTAAATGCTACTTACATAGATTTGGTTTTTCATATATCTGATTCGTACATTATTAAGTAAGGTGGCTTCATTTAAGTACATCAAAGCACCTAATTATAAACAAAAGCACAATAAATGTCAATGAATTCTGTAATAAATATACTATCACTGGAATAGGCTGTTTACATGCCACGTAGTGTACAATGGGATAAATTAAGATATCAACATATAAATTGATCTTTGTACAATGCCATTAATAAATGGAAGTAAACAAAAGAGTATTTCAAAGATAAAGAAATTGTTGATCAAAAACATCTGATGAGCCATGAGATATTTTTTCTAAGCCAATGATAATCATTAAAAAAATCATTAGTGGCTTCATGAAGCCGAAACCATGAAGTTTCTTTAAATAGTTAGGCAGGTTGTGATGGTGTCCACCTATTTTTTATACAGGTTAAAATACTTCATGGTTGAACAGACTGTTCCCCTGGTTTAGTGAATATAACGATCCATTTTAATAACTATAAGCGAATTGTTTGAATATTCAGTTTTTATTCATTACATTTGATATCAATCAACAAAATTATTAGCACTTGTCAGAATAAGAAGCACTGACACTTTAGTATACCTAAAGTGTGCAGGTTGGGGCACTTTTTTGATGGCCAATAAGGCCATTTGTCAGATTTCGACAGGGGAAATGGAATGCTGTTTGTGACAATATATAAATTAAAACATCCCAGAGTGGCATTTAGTAACTGGGATATGAATAACTGGACACAATTTTATGGATAACAATTACTTTAATGAATAACTATTTATTAAAGTAATTGTTATCCATATAATTGTGTCCAGTTATAAATTAAACAGTGGTCTAAATGAGGAAAATTATAAAAAATCTTATTTGGATTAAAATATTTATTCCAGTGAAAGATGTTATATTTGTATATTTTTGGAATAATCTGTCAAAAGACTCGAGGAATCAAGAAAATGCAACTTGTTGACAAAACTAACTAAAATTACTAGCAATATTGATATTATAAAGATTACAAACTTACAATTATCTTCACAATCTTTATTATCATATTCTTCAGCTGGAAATGTTCTATCATAGATAGCATTGATAGTCTAAAATATAAAACAAAATTATGTTCATAAATCAAGAAGTCTAAAATTTAGATCTATAAAAGTTACATGACTATATGCCAATGACAAATTTGAATAAGCTATCATCAGAACATCCTGTGGATATTTAAATCAAATACAGTTTAACACTTTACATATTTACTCCTAATTGTGCTAATAAATACAAAGCCATGCAGTGTGGAATGAGTTAGTTTTGATAGATCAGCAACAATGGCCCACAATTTTAAATTTGCAAACTATAGATATTTTCTTATGCAGAGCTTATTTTTTGGCAGACTGCTCTTTGTTTTTGTTTCAAGTAAAAAATCAAATTGACCTGTGCCAAGATTGATCCCTGACCCGACCCCTCCCCTAGTCAAACCACTATAGCTTCCTGGAGATGAAAAAGCTACAAAATAAAAAAACAACTTACTGTTCCTGGTGCATCAAAAGGTTCAATAGCAATGGAGTCAGTTCCTATATCTACTATACGACCAAGTTTGAAACCATCAGTTTGGTGAGGTACCCAAACCTTCCTCCCTCCATCCATTTTTCACAGTCTGGAATGAAATTGAATTGAAATAAGGTGATAAATTTACAAAATTCTGCAACAATGCAGATGTATTACTATTAGCCTTCTCTTTATCAATTTCTTACTGTCAAGAGATCATTTATGTGTAGAATGAAGAGCATTCATATCTCATGTAAATTGAACATTGAACAAGATGAGTTTTCTATGCATGATAAGAATGGTTGCAAGTCAATTGTTAGATTTAGATTTACTTCACAAATACTTCCATACTTAGTTTCAGTTACATGTTCATCAAATTTTAAGTTATGCAGAGTCCAATGGCCAATACAATCTGATATTTATGGCCAATACAATCTGATATTTATGCAGAGCATATCAATGTCATGATTGTAAGTTTATACATTCTTCTTACTCAGAAATCGAAAACAAAAATTTGATAACTTCCACTTTCAGTATGAAGTACATAACCTGACCTTGGCAAATTTCCAAACTTTTGGATTCTTAAGATGTCTTTAATGTTATAGATAAATATTACATCATTGCAAACTTTTGCCACTTTCAATATTTTCTTTCAGACGTGTATCATTTGTCTTAGAATGTTTTCAGGTCCCATTGATCAGAATATCTCAAATGTCTGTTTCATTTCGTCAAAACAAAGCCTCATATTATTGATTGTAAGAACATTGTGACATTAGAGGACACAGAAGGGTGTTTCAATATTTCAGTACATCATGAAATGAAAATAAGAGGATCTGAAAAGGATTAATTTAAATGACCATATTCAGCAATATTTTGCAAGCACATATTAGGTATGAAGACCCTTTTCGATGGTCTTGGAGCATTAAAAACTCTTCAGAATTACGACTGAAAATGACTGACTAAGCAAACCAATCAAAACCATACAAGTTTCTATTACCAAAATGACATTTGAAGACGAATTTTCAAATAACAGGTAAGGTTCAGTAATCACAGCCAGTGAAAAGAACCGGATCTTACATCTGCAATAGATACTGGTATTGACTAACAATCTATCATTCATACAAATATAGATCTAACTATGCACTCAATTTATTTGGACTCTCAATTTATTGGGATTTCAAGCAGACTGCAAGAGTGGAATTATTCATTTAAGAGCACTTCTACGAAATTCATCACAACCTTCAAATTGTTGTCTGCTACTGCACTCAGGTGTGTCAATTTAAGGTGATGACTTGTCCTTCCTGTCCAACGAAATACCTGTCATGAGAGCAACTCCGAAAGTCGAAGGGCACCTTTCTTTGAATATAACAGATGAGATATTTAAGCTTACCTGTAACTGGATACTAGGTTGGCTAAAAGATGAGACAAACTTGGATAAATAAAAACAAGTAATCTGTAAAAGGAAAATTAATTATCAATCACCATTATACAGTAATGTCATACACAGCAATCAGTGTAAGGCGGGGCCACTTATATCACTACGCGCACACCTGGAAAAATAATCCCGGTGCTTTTATGAATCCATTTGAGAAACTCGTTTACTAAATTTGTTCCTGCACGATTTTATACTCGTCAACGCAATTAATATTCTGAATAATAATAGATTTGACTGAATAAAGTCGTATTTATTTTTGTCATAATGAGCAAATTTGAAAAAAGCGACAAAAGGGAGGCAATCGAACCAGGTGTGTTATTAGCTAATTGATTATAATGCAGGTGCATATTATCAGTTATTAAATCATGATGTAATTTGAGGGCTGGTTAAAATGGTCTAAAACATAACTGTTAAAGACCCGTGCCAAGTTAATGGTTTTCACTTATTGTCCTACATATTATGCCACTGTCGAGATGACGCCAACACACCTTTGCCTTCGTTGCTGCAAGGTTTGGATGCATGCAGGTCAAGAGGAAAGTTTTTGCAGCCAACGTCATCATTACTACAATGATAGGGTCCTACTTATAAATTTTACATTGTGAAAATCAAGTGGAAGTCTGAGGAGGACGAGTCGGCCTTGAAATCACCAGACAAAATTTGTCATGGAAAGTCAGGAATCTGACACGTTTCTGCCAAAGAGCTTTGGCGCCCATCTTGCAGAAACTTTTGTCATTCCAAAACTCTTGATGAAAGATGCAAACAACACTGGTCAATTTGTCAATCAACTATGCACCCAGGTCCGTCGCTAGGGTGGGGTCCGTGGGGGGCAAGTGAGAATTAAGCCCCAGCAAAACCTTCTTCAGTTCAGCAGAGATTGATAAATTTATAGTGTCTTTGTACAAAATCAAAAATATATAGATTTTAATACGTTTTTGACAACTCAAAATTGTCAGAAATGTGCTATCTGGGCCTTTAATTTTTTAGGTTTTCTGATTACAAAATCTAAGCCCCGGCACCATTTCCTTCCTGGCGACGGGGCTGCATGCACCCTGGTAATGTTTATAGTTGCTGTTGAAGGTTTTTCTTGGCCGAAGATCATCGTCAAGGCTTCCTGTGCCTCGCATGTATTCCACAGCCCACTTCTTTACAGTGAGACAGGTTGAGTCATCGCTTAAGGAAAAGATTAAGTTCTTTGCAATTACATGTACTTGATAGCCAGTTTTATCCATCAATCAAACGATGCAACAATCTATCCATCATATCTTTGTCAAGAACGGGGATAGATGAAATGAATTTATCTGGCTAAATCAGGAAATGTGTTTCTTAAAAAATTATTAAAAATAGAAACTGTTGTTTCTATGATGTGTTTCTACATCTAGAGCTGAGACTGCCAGTTCTTGACCTCCATTCTCAAATTTCTTATTATTGTGTTTTTAAATGTCTACTTCTTTGATTCCCCATGACAATTCTGTGACCTCTACTTGCTCTAATGATTTATAGAGATGTTACAGAAGAAAAGTCTTCAGAGTAAAAGCAGTGGCGTCGCCAGTGGGGGTACAGGGAACCCTAAAAGAGGGTTTGTACCCCAGCCACCCCCACCCCACCCCTCAATTGCACAACCACTTCATTTCTAACAAAATTTAGCAAGACTCAAATTTAGATTTCTAACATGTTCGCCTCTTAATATGGGTTAGAAGACACCAAATGAATTCTACTTTTCAAACCTATTCTTGTGGAGAAGCTTCTCTGATGCTCAGTTTGATGCTCTTGCCTATGCGCTTCCGCAGAGCTGCCGGATTTTGAATCTAATCCTCCAAGCTTGCCCCCCATTAAGTTAGTCTACTCCCAATGTACCCCCGCCTGGGGAGCTGGGCATCTGGGAAGCTGGAGCCAGCCCTGAAGAAATGGGAGATAACTTGTCTCGTATTACTGATTAAATTATATAGTCAATCGAAATGAATACAGTCGCAGCCGACTATGATATACTTGAGTCTGTACAAAATATGCTTTAAGTACAGACTACAAAATGTTTTTGTTTCAGAAAGCAAGTGCTTTCAAAGCTTGTGTTTCTTTTATATTACTTTGCAAAGCAAGATCTGAAGATGTTATCTGGTCAGCAGATTTACGTTCTTCGACTTGAAGGGACTATCATAAGAATTATACATTTACGAGGAACATTGCCAGGAGTGACATTCATCAATTTAGTCCCAAATTTACCAACGTCTGGTCGTTATTTTGCCCAACGTGTCACCAGGCCCAATTTCCTTTAATCCCCATCACTGTTGGAAACAGATAAATATATAGCCAGCTTTGCATTAAGCAACATATGTCACAAATTTTTCAGACAATTTATGAGCAAGCTTTATCACTTATGACAAATTTGAAATAACATTTTTTGGTTGTTCTGTGTGTTTTTGTGCTGAATGTGCTTATCAGAAGAATGTCAAGATATCTGAGACGGATTTATTTCGATACTCATCAAGCATGGACAGTGTTGCTTTTCATTTCTTTCGGTGTATTCTTTATACTCAGTTGTCTCGTGTTAAGTTTACAGTCTTCAACATCTCGGAAGTCAACTTCATCAGCGGAAAGAGAAGTTGATTTACTGGTCATGACAACTATACACGATAAATACACAGATATCGACCATCTCACCAACTGGACATCATTATTCACTTCTGATAGAGTTCGTCTGCTCTTCTTTCTACAATATGGCGACATAAAAACATGGAAGACAAGATTTCCTGACGTTGAAATCATACCGCTTAATTCCACAATAATTATGTGCAATAGTCCTTCCTTCATTAGCCTTAATGTGTTGTTTCAGACTGCCAAAAAAATGTACAGAAGTCATTTCTACGCGTATGTTAATGAAAACGTGCTGGTATCAAATCAATTGTTGGTTACACTGAGTGATTTAATAAATAGTTATAAAGATATTGAGAGTGGGAAATCGACATTATTAATAGCAAGAAGTAGACTTGTAAAAGATAAAAATGTTGCCTTACAGCTTCTTCAATCAAATTTACATTCCTCACAAATTCAATATAGTATGAGTGGTTTGAGTGACGTCTTTATAACCAATAGACAATTTGAGTGGTCTAATATACCCAATATGATTGCACATCAGGATTCTACCAGTCAATTGCTACTGGCAATTTCACGAAGAAAAAGAGTCGTTTTACTTGACGTCACGAAGTCGTCAAATGTTGTTCGAATACGTAAAAAGAAAACGAAGCCCTCCAGATATGTTATGCGATGTGAGAAAAACATGGTAGTAGAATCGGATATTGATTCTGAAATATTGGAGACGTGTGGCAGTATGAAGTGTGTTGCATTGGAAACTACTTCAGAGAATAGTAAAGTAATTATCAAACAAAGACATACTGCCTCTGAATGTTCTATATGCAATTTTCATCCCGAAGTTAATGCACCGTGGCTTCCTTAAGGACAGAGTCCAGTGCTCGGACAACTTGATATACATGTTTTAAATGCAATTATGAAATAAAAACCTGAAATAAATTTTAGAATGTGTTAATGCAGGGGCGTATCTAGCAGTGGGTGGGAGAGGGCAAAATTAAGGGTTCTCGAGGCGAGACCCAAAGGCCCAATTCATGAAGTGCTCCTTGACCTTTCAAAGGCCCGAGGCGGGACTAGACATTACCCAATGGCCCAATCCCTCAATAGCCACTGTCACAATGTAGGCCTATCTCAGAGATATTTACTAATTATGTTCTTGGAAAGTACATCTGGGCACTCAAGTGAAAGATGCGCTATATAAATAAATATTTATAATAGTAAAACCGTGAATGTTTTTATAATTTTAACAGATTTGATATAATTATGATGAAGTGTACAAAGCGAGTCCGAATGTAAAGATGGCTTACCAGGCAAGGTAATATACGCCCACTGGCAGCATTGATATTTTGAATAAAAAATATTTGGCAGTAGTGACAATTACCAGTATGAAATATTCAATAGTCATACACTTCTTTTGAACTTTTTAATGGGAAAATAAATAATATTACCAAGTTTTGTCAAAATCTGTCAGAAATTGGGCCTTCTAGAGTGTTTACAGGCTAATATTTGAACAAGGGCAACTTATACTAAGAACTTTTCGATTTTTCTGATTTTCAATAGGGTTCATCCTTGGGTGATAACAAACACTTACACGAAGTTTCGTCAAAAGGTGTTAATAATTTCCAGGAGTGTTTACGAGCAATTGTAAACGGACCGACGGGGTGGACTCGGGTGATGTAGGTGTATAAAAACCTCCTCCTTTAATTTGTATTTTGTAGCATGGATTTATCAATAAAATATGATGCTGTATGTTTAACTCGGGCATGATACAGATGTTAGGTCTTTTGCTTAGCAGAAAATCAGCTTGAACTATCCGGAATGAGCAGCTGCTATCCGATTTCGATAAAACATAGTAAGCTTATGTAAATAGATGATACCTGTAATGAGCTTGATGTTGAAAGTAGTTTGACGAACGGCTCATCAGTTATTACACCATGCCCGGACTATTAAAATGTCTGAGCATCAACAAATCGATAGGCATTATCCTCAAAGATGAGGTTTCCTGCCATGCAGTCTATTGTAAATACCGCAAGTCACAAAGGTCAAAGAGATACGGGGAGTAAAATAGAGAAAGGTTAAGGAGATACACGGAAAGAAAGGTTAGAGTGACACAGGAGGTGCAAGAGAGAAAGGTTAGAGAGATACAGGGAGTAAAATAGAGAAAGGTTGGAGAGATACAGGGAGTAAAATAGAGATATGTTAGAGGAGATATAGGGAGTAAAATAGAGATATGTTAGAGGAGATATAGGGAGTAAAATAGAGAAAGGTTAGAGGAGATACAGGGAGTAAAATAGAGATATGTTAGAGGAGATACAGGGAGTAAAATAGAGATATGTTAGAAAGATACAGGGAGTAAAATAGAGAAAGGTTAAAGAGATACACGGAAAGAAAGGTTAGAGGACACAGGAGGTGCAAGAGAGAAAGGTTAGAGAGATACAGGGAGTAAAATAGAGAAAGGTTAGAGAGATACAGGGAGTAAAATAGAGAAAGGTTAGAGGAGATACAGGGAGTAAAATAGAGAAAGGTTAGAGGAGATATAGGGAGTAAAATAGAGATATGTTAGAGGAGATACAGGGAGTAAAATAGAGATATGTTAGAGAGACACAGGGAGTAAAATAGAGAAAGATTAGAGAAAGAGAGAGAGAAAGGTTAGAGAGATACAGGGAGTAAAATAAAGATATGTTAGAGGAGATATAGGGAGTAAAATAGAGATATGTTAGAGAGATACAGGGAGTAAAATAGAGATAGGTTAGAGAGATATAGGGAGTAAAATAGAGATATGTTAGAGAGATATAGGGAGTAAAATAGAGAAAGGTTAGAGGAGATATAGGGAGTAAAATAGAGATATGTTAGAGGAGATATAGGGAGTAAAATAGAGATATGTTTGAGAGATATAGGGAGTAAAATAGAGATATGTTAGAGGAGATATAGGGAGTAAAATAGAGATATGTTAGAGGAGATATAGGGGGTAAAATAGAGATATGTTA